ATCCTTTCAACTAGTTTGTGAAAAGGCAAAGTAAAGCAGGTTAGACTAACCTAATTTGTATGAGTGTGAAGTTTCTATCAGCTTAGCCCCAGTGCTTATCTCAGTGCCTGGCATGTAGTGGTGGTCATCCTTTTATTTGCTAAACAAATGGATGAAAACAAGAATAGCAGAGGCTGCAAACTGGCTGCTTAAGGCTGAATATAACATTTTGTGTGGCCCACACCATTTCTGACATCTGAACTAAGTGGCAACATTTAAAAATCAGGGGATTTTTGCATTATTTGGATGTTTGGCTTCTAATGGACATTTATGGAGTTGTTACTCTGTGCCAAGTAGTTTCCAAGCACTTATAATGTTTTGTCATTCTCACAACAATCTTATGCTGTGTGTGCTATTATCCCCATATTACAGATGGACAAATAAAGGCACAAAGAGGATAAGTGACTTCTAAGATCATACAGCAAATAAGTGGCAGAGCCAGGATTTAAGAATAATCTAATTCCAGAGTCCATGCTCATAAGTGCTACACTGCGCCTGACCTTGTTGTTCCATGCTGGCCTGGAGACAGTAGGCCAGAGCCAGGGGCCTCTTTCAGTACACTGCACTTTTTTCTCTTCGAGTTGCCAGTTTTACTTCACAGGTACCTTTCTAGCCCATGTAGGTATATTAAGTTGCTATCCCTACATTAAATAATCTTCCCAAAGTCACATGGCCTTTCAGTGATGGAGCAAAGTTTCGAACTAGGTCTTCTGATTTGTAGACAACTGCATCAGAAATATAGAAATGATTATACATATCTATGTGTGTATGTGTATGTTTTCACACACACACACTCTCTCATGTAGCTCCTTGGACTCTCTTCCTGTGCAAAGCTCGAAACCCAATATCATTATTCCCAAGTCTGATCCTTTGTTTTTTTGCAGTATCATACAATCTCTTTCTAGGATCTCATCCACTCTTAAGAGTTTCTGCTCTTATTCTGGTGCAGATGATTCCAATTCTTTCTCCTGATCTTCAGCCCTTTATCTCTGACTGCTATTAGTTGTAGGGGAGGAAGAACTATTCCTCTACCCTCTAGGTCCTTCTGGCTGGTCTATGAAATAAACTGACATGAGACAGAGTAACAGGAGAAAAATCGAACAAAGTTTAATAACATATATACATGGGAGAAACCCAAGAAAACTGAGTAACTCGCCAAAATGGCAGAAGTCACCACCTTAAATACCATCTTCAGCTAAAGACAAAGGAGGATTTTGGGGGTACTGGTTTGGGGCTTTGAAGGGGAGGAAGGCAATTTACATGGAGTTGGAAAAGCAAATGTTTGATAAATGTTTGCTGGGCCACCTGTAGACAATGTGATGAGAGAGACAGAGAGAGAGAGGGAGAAAACTTTGATAAAAATGGGCTTAGCAAGGACCCTAAGTCTATCATACCCAACCCAGAGTTTTCTCTGGTGATGGCCCAGGACAGGCCTTTTATCTTCAATTCTCTTAGGCAGTTAGGGGGAAGGTCAAAGTTTCTTTCAGAGTTTTTTCTGCTTAAAAATAAGCCAAAGAGACACATTTTGGGGTGGCCAGTTCTGATCCCCCACATAGTCATTTGTGTATTGACCTCACCCCCCAAATTGAACTCCTGTTCCACCAGACTAACTCCCCTAATACTAAGGTGAAGTGATTGGAGGATGAGCTGCTGATGGAGAGGAGGCCAGTTAAGAGTTGCCTCTAGCAGTCTCTCCCAAATGAGGAAGGCCTTGCCATGGACGGTGGTCATGGGGAGAGAAAGAGAGGCAGCAATTGGGGGGGCACTTCAGGAGAGTAGGAAGGGCCCTGTCCCTAACCAGAGGTGAGGGATAAAAGACTTGAAAGACATGGAAGTGACTTAGATTGGGGGGGAGATGGGGAGCAAAGAGAACTGGAAAATGGCATAAATGGTAGTGCCTTTGAGTAAAAGAGGGAGGAGAAGCTCTTTTAGGATCATAAATTTAGTTTCAGACAGTTGAGTTGGAACTGATGTCAAGACATGTAAATAGACATGGCTTACAGGCAGCTGGAGATGCTAGAATAGTACCTCTGGAGTGAAAACAGACATCTGACCTATGCCAGCCTGAAGATGGTCATTAAAGCTGTGGGACATGGTTGGCCATACCAGATTTTTAGCTGGGCTTTAGAGATCCATTTACTTTAGTATTTTCATTCTTTGGCTACTTTTCAAATGTCAGACAAAAGGGAACACGGAAACACGAAGGCAGAACTGCTGCAGTTGAGGGGGCAGGAGTGGAGTGGTGATGGGGGGGTGCTGTGCAGACTCTGTCCTCCAGCATCTCTCCTCTTGCCTCTCAACCCTTTTATGTTACAGGTGATGAAAAGACCCTGAGAGTGACGTGATTTGTCCTAGATATTAACATCAAATTAGTGGCACAGACAGAACTGGAACCCAGTGACTAGGCCCAGAAGGTTCTAAAGGAAAGCTCAAAAAAACAGTTTTCATTTTTATTACCTTTCCCTTGTCTAGAAACGACCGGGATCCAAGTCAGCGGCTTCCCTGCAGGTCATGTAGGAAACACAGCAGTCCACAGGCTCTTGGTCTCGATGGCCCTCTCCTGGTTCTCCTGCATCTGGGATGGCTCCTTCCCAGGCTCCACAGGCCCCTCGTCTGCCTGTGCTTTCACAGTCACATGTGTGTTGTCATCCACATTCAGAGCCTCTTCTTAGTGTAAACTGCTGAAGACTCCTAAATCAATCTCCAGTCTGGACATCTGAGCTTGAGGCTTATGCCCAACTGCCTGCTGGGCATCTCCACCTGGATGTTCCAATAACACGTCCAGCCACGTTTGGAACCACTGTCAGATACAACTCTAGGCCAATACACTTGCAAATCTAGATGAAATGGGTGATTTTTTTTTTTTTTTTTTTTTTTGTGAGGAGATCAGCCCTGTGCTAACATCCGCCAATCCTCTTTTTTTGCTGAGGAAGACGGCCCTGGGCTAACATCTGTGCCAATCTTCCTCTGTGATTTTTTTTTTTTAACAGACTGTAAGTGGCCAATATTGACTCAGGAACCTCAATAGGCTAATAAACAGTAGAAATTAAAAGGTTATCAAAGACCTTTCTGCTGCAAGGCCAGGTCCAGATAGTCTGTTAAAGCTGCAAAATCCCCCTAATTACTATGTATTCTCCCCCCAATTTACTGCAAAATTTATAAAATTTAGAACTTTAAAAAGTCTTAAAATAGTACTTTGAACAGCTATATATCCTCCTCCTAGATTTCATAATTAACGTTTTGCCATATTTGCTTTATCTCTATACAAGCACCGATTTTCTTTTTGCTGACGATTTTCAAGTCAGACATTCTGACACTTCACCCAGAAATACTTCAGCATGCATCTCCTCAGAGTAAAGCCTCTGTCTGGTATAATTACACCACCATTATCACACAAAATTCATTAAAGCATCAAAAATGCAATTCACATTTAAATGTCCCTAATTGTGCTAAAAATGTTTTTATAGTGCTTTTAAAAAGTAGGATCCATTTCAATACAATCTAAAGTATTCCAGAGCATTAAAAAGGATAGCAAGCTTTTATGATTTTTGATCCCCAAACTTGACAAAAACCACAAACACAGAGAACACAAAAATCAAAAAGCAATCCTGACTAATAAATATAAATGCAAAAATTCTAAAACAATATTAGCAAACAGATTTCAGGATATTAGAGGACTGAATTGCCCTTGAGGATATTGTTTGAACCCTCAGTTTCTCTCTTCCCTTCCCCCGTTACGCAGCAGCCTTGTTGTCAGACCCCACCGACGTCTGAGTGCCCAAACCGACCTGGAAACTCCAACCCCGTTACCGCGACAGGTTCAAAGCGCCCCAGGCAATCAGCACGCGGTATCGCCGCCGGCCACAGGTGATGCAACCAGCGAGAGGTTCCGTCCTTTCGCCGAGAACCGGAGAGCCGTCGTTAAACACTGACCCGCGCACCACCCTGATGCAGGCCGCCCCTGTTGATCCCTTTGCTTCTCCAGACTGTGTTGGAATGAGCCGTTTCTCCTTGGTGCAGCCTAGCACAAAGGGCAGGCGATTAACAGGTGTTTGAGGCGTGCTGGAAGGCGGACACCCTCTCCAGACAGTCGCCCGGGCCAGGGGCG